ATTCTTGTATGCTGAATTTACAGCGTCATGTGACCATCCACACAAATGGCAAAAAGGTTTAACTGAATATTCCAGTCCAAACTGTTTAAAATCCATTTGCAAAATATCTTTTTTATAAAACTGCTGTCAACTTTTGGCAAATAGATGGCACTGTTGCACACAAGAATGGTTAGGTTTCAAAAACCTTTTGATGATTTCTGTCCAGCTTGTTCTAAATCAGATCTGATCTGAGACAAATTTGGGGAAGATCCAATGAATTTTGAAGGAAGAGTTAAAAAAACCTGTCCTTTCAGTGAAATAAAAGTGACACTTGCAGAAGGGTGGACCATGGAAAATATGGATCAATAGATTAAATTAATCAGAAGTAATAAGCAAGGCATGGAGCCACTAGCCGGGCCAGCGCGAGCCAGGGCTTTAAACGGGCCGTGCCGGGCTAATAGCCTCGAACACACTGCGTTTCCACTGTCGGGCTTCACTAACCCGTAACCTGCCCGTAACACCCCTCTCTGGAGCAACGTCACACAAACACATCATTTCACCAACAAATGGAAGTTTTATCAGAAAACTAATCAGAAAGAAATCACTGGAAACGGCGTGATCACAAAACAAACATGATAAAAGCGACCGTTTGCTGGCATTTTTGTTGTTTACTTGAATATTTAAAACCCAAGCGGCGATGTTTTACCACAGGTTTACAATAAAAAGTGATATATTGATCATAACTAATTCATTTGAGTCAAAATTGCACATGAGTCACACAAAAATAAAGTGGTTTACCATTAGGTCTATTTCACAGAAGAAAGAGGACACACTTATTCAGTTGTGTTTCTGTTTATTTGGTAGTTACAGGACATATCTACATCACATTTAGAAAGAATGATCATTTCTGCAAATATGCCACCATAAATACGACCTGAGGAGCTTTAGCACTCTCTACCAGTAGGCTAGTTATATTTTTCAGTCAGAGAAACAGAGGAAGCTCCTGGAAAAAAAAAGTTGCTATAAAAAAAGTTGTGAAGTTTACTCAAAATGGCTGCCATCCAGTATGGCTGACACAAAAACACTAGCATGACCAAACATAGATATCTCGTTGCCAACATGATCTAACAATGATCTGATCCAAATTTGGTGAAGATCTGATGAACAGTCCAGGTTTAACAGAAAATGATGGAGAATCTAGTGTTGTAGAAATTGAGTTTTACTCAATATGAGCCACGAAATCAGCGATTTTGTTTTTAGGCCTTAAAATAAGCTTTGGTGCAAATTTGAGATGTTGGTACAGCGTTTGAGATAGAGACTCCAAATTTGCCATGGTTGATGTTCATACTGTCTTCCATCTTTGTGCCAAATTTCATAACTTTCCTATGTTTGGTTTTATTGTTTGCCAAAGAAGAACGTTAACAGATGCACCTTCAGGGTTCGGCCTCTAATTAGACTGAATAACTCTCTTCCTCTTCTCTCGCCTTTCCCACAGGTTGGTACAGGCAGTGTAATATCATTCCCTACAGTAAAGATGTTGATCTGGGCATTTGGATCAAAGATTATAGGGATGACATCACTCAGGCGTTTCAGAAGGCTGGTCTCCCACTGAAACACAAGTTCGGAAAGGTAAGGAGATTTTGAGAGTTCGGGATCCCACCATTCAAGTAGATTAGGACTTGGGGCCCTATTTAAAGGATCTAAGCACATGGTCTAAAGCGCACGGCGCAAGTGCACTTAGGTCGTGTCCGAATCCACTTTTGCTAGTTTAACGACGGGAAAAATGGTCGGTGCGCCCAGTGCATGGTCTAAAAGGGTTGTCTCTATTCTCTTAATGGGCCCTATTTTAACGATCTAAGACGCAAAGCGCAAGTAACTTTGTGGGCGGATCTCGGCGCTGTTGCTATTTAACCGGCGGGATAAATGACTCTTGCGCTCCACGCAAATCTAAAAGGGGTTGGTCTGAAGTAGCTTCATTATTCATAGGTGTGGTTTGGGCGTAACGGGAAACAAACCAATAAGAGCGTCAGATCACATTCCCTTTAAGAGTATGATGAACGAGGTGCGCTTGTTCCATGGCGCAACACTGTTATAACGGCGCACAGGCGCGCTTCAGAATCGGTTCACAGCCGAGGAGATCGATGTTCTCGTCAGGGCCGTAAAAGAAAGAGAAGTGACATTGGGGATGGGACAAACCCACCCAAATTAGCTTTGGTTAAACATACATATAATAAGCTTTATGCCCATTTTTCCCATCGCCATGGACACAACAATGATTTCCCTCGTGTTTTAATATTTTTCCTTATAATAATGTATCATTTGCAAAAAGTAAAATGCATCTGTGTAGATGAGAGAATCGTCTACAGTGTATGTGCGTTGTTTACACTCTGTATTATGGCCAAGCATGCGCGCTTAAAATAGCATCTGGCGCAACGCGCCACTGACTTTAGACTAGGTTTGTTCTGGTCAGTGGCGCAATTGTTTTCTGGAACTGCAGAGTCTCATCTCCCATTCCCTTTAAAAGCCAGTTGCGCTCGCGACATGGCGGAATTTGCAAGCGGAAAAATTTAACGCTTCTCTAGCGAGGAAACGGAACCATCAAAGTGTACGTGCGTTGTGGACTCGCCTACACGCGCACATTACTAATGCGCTCTTTAAATAACCTAACAAATACTGCGCCATTGACTTAAGACGAGGCTTCAGTTGGTCAACGGCTCAGTCTATTTTAGTTCCTCAAAATAGCAGTGCCAACAATGCGCCTGAACACACACCTGGTTTTCAGACCAGCAGCCCATGGGCGCACAAATGCATTTGCTATTTAAAGGGATACTCCACCGTTGTTTCATATTAAACTATGTTATTCCCTTAACTAAGACGAGTTGATACATACCTCTCTCGTCTCAGTGTGTGCACTCAACCGCTCTGTCTTGCGGCGAAACTTTGTTAGCACTTAGCTTAGCCCAGTTCATTCATTAGGATCCAGGCGGAGAAGCGACCAAACACCTCCACGTTTTCCCTATTTAAATACAGTTACACGAGTAGTGTAACTCGACCAAGAATGGTGACACAAAATAAAACGTTGCGCTTTTCTAAGTGTGTAAAGTGGATAACTATAATGTATGGCGGAATACCACAGCAAGTGCTTGGGAGCACTTCGACTCGGCGCAGTAAGAGTCCATAGATATATATGCGCCGAGTCGAAGTGCTCCCAAGTGTTACCATTCTTGGTCGAGTTACACTACTCGTGTAACTATTTAAATAGGGAAAAAGTGGAGGTGTTTGGTCGCTTCTCCGCCAGGATTCTAATGAATGAACTGGGCTAAGCTAAGTGCTAACAAAGTTTCGCCGCAAGATTGAGTGCACACACTGAGACGAGAGAGGCATGTATCAACTCGTCTTAGTTAAGGGAATAACATAGTTTAATATGAAAAACGGTGGAGTATCCCTTTAAACAACGTGAAAATGATAACTGCATCGGGCTGAAACTAGCAAAAAACACTTACGTCGCGCCGCATTGCGCCGGGTGTATGATAGGGCCCTTGATCTTGGATGCCTGAAAACAGCTGGCCGGAGGCGGTGTGAATATGAGTTTCCTTGAAATGGACTTTGTTCTTTTTCTCAACCGTTATTGCACCTCAGAAAAGCAATAACTGTTTTGATCCTGGTTTTAATTTTTGATTTTACCAGAAACCTAGATCAGCCTCAATCCTGCTGATCTGTGACTTCAAACGCAATTCATATTTTAGTTTGGGATTAACTTGAAAGGGACAGTTCACCCAAAAATGAAAATTCTGTCATCTTTTACTCACCCTTAAGTTATTCTAGACCTTTATGAGTTTCTTTCTTCTGTTGAACACAAAAGAAGATATTGGCAGCAGTTCTTCACCCTAATTGATGGAGTGTGTAGCTTTTCAATTCTTAAACACCCGTGTAGGAAGACACATCATGGCCATATTCCAGGATGATAATGTCAGATTCCTCAGGCTCAGATTGTGAGGAACATGAAGAATCATTTTCACACATGAATCTGCTCCTCTTGAGTCCAGATCTTACATTCATTGAAAGTGTTTGGGATTTGTTGGAGGAGACTTTACAGAGCGCTGGACTCTTGCATTGACAATACAAGATCTTGACCAAAAATGTATGCATCTCTTCATGGAACTAACATTTATTTACATCAAGAGGTGTGACGTGTCTTCCTACATGCTTGTTTAAGAAATGAAAAGCTACATCAGACACATTTTCACCCTTCATTTATTTAAATTTCAGGTGGAGGACAGTTTGGAGCTGTCCTTTCAGGGGAACGATGTGAAACTGGACATTTTCTTCTTTTATGATGAAGGTGACATTGTCTGGAATGGAGGCACGCAGGCAAAGAGTGGCAAAAAATTCAAGTGAGTATTAGAGAGTTTTCTATTATCAACTAAACATTGCTTTTAATATCAGTCGCATGCTTCCAATCATGGATGTTGCTAGACCCCATTAAAGGTACAATATGTAAGAAATTCACAAAAATCACTTGCACAGTGTGATGTATTTCCTGCAGTTGTGTACTTACAATATCCCAAAAGTCTCCAAAGATTTTTTATTTCAGAGAAATTCTCATTTTAAATAAGTGGCCGTCCCGGAAAAAAATGTCGCCTGACAATGACGCAATCTCGCGCTATCCTCGGTTTCCGTTCATACTGCCATAGCCATGACGTAACTATGGCGACAGACGTGGACAACTGCGTAGTGCGTAGCGTTTAGCGGCACGCAGTTCTGGTTTCTTTTAAACATAGACCATGGCAAGCAGACTTTGGGACAAACAAGGAGAACTAAAATGAGGATCAATATCAGCGTGGCGTTTTTGAGATGCCGAGAGCTAGCGTCCGCGACTAACTTGGACTCGCCAGAGCTTCACGAGTCACGACTTGACAGCTTTATTAGACAGGTGAGCAAATGTACATAAAACAAATCAATGTTATATAACGTTAGCTCAACATGATGAAATGTTAGAATATGGTCAGTATGTTATTCTAATGTTGATCTAGCTTACTGCTAGTTTCGTATAGCAAACAAACTAACACGTAGTATAGCATTATAACTTTCAACACACATTTAAATGCCATTTAGTGTGATAGTGTAACGTTAGACCAAGTGAAGCAGCGCTGCGTTACCTCACAAGTTTAATTAGTTCGGTAGAATTAAATGTCCGTATTCCTTTATATCCGCGGGACTCGCGTGTGATATCTGTCTCTTTAGCAATCGCGACCTGCTTCATACCACTGTAATGTTAAAAAACATGAATGTCTGCACTCATCCATAAACATTATTAGATCCATCAGCTTGACAGTAAGTCCCATCATTCAGCTCATCACTGCGTCATCAACCTACGCCTTTGTTATTGTTGGAAACTGCGCCCTCTTGTGGCGAAAAAAACCTACATATTGTGCCTTTAATGCCTGGTACGTGAATACAGTGCCATTAGCCAATCTTTGAAACAACAAAGTGAGGTAGTCAGAAATTAATTTACCTGTCATTTATTTATTTATTAATTATTTGATTTGTTTGCACTTAAACACACAATAACAGTGTATGAATGTGAAGCAAGATACCCATTACACAGGGTTAACTAGTTCAAGTGTGGAAAGCCCTAGAAAAAATCTGTTTTTGTTCTTTCTTTCATGAAATGTCTTCTTATATTTACATTGTTTGCTGACAGATACGTGTTCCCACGATTCAGTCTGTGTTGGACCGAGCTGATGGAGCTGAAGGTCCAGGTTCCCTGCGAGACTAGGGACTATGTGATGGCCAACTATGGTCCCAACTGGAATGTTCCTGTAAAAACCTGGGACTGGAAGAGCTCCCCGTCCAACGTACAGGAGAATGGAGTCTGGCCTGTGCGGGAATGGGATGATGTCATTCAGGTTTACTGAAGCATCATGGGAGTTATACTCCCGTTGATATGGGTGACGTCGCAGTTACAGTGACACAAACCGCTCTAAGCTACTACAAACATGAAAGCAAGTTTTAGAGTTCCCTGAAAGTCTGTGGACCTTGAGTGTCTTTGCAACACTAAGAGAACATGAAATAAAATCCCTCAAGAAATAGTCATGCTTAAAATCTACAGAATGTGTAAAGAAAATGCTGCTGTGCACTGGGTACTGATATATGCATTTTATTCTTGAATAATAAACTAATGTGTGAACTATTTAGGCTTTTTAGACATGAAGTAATGAATAAAAATGTTGTATTTTAATAGATGATGAAGCTAAAGTGAAGGGTGGACGGTATAATACTGATATACAGGTGAAACTCGAAAAATTAGAGTATCGTGCAAAAGTTCATTTATTTAAGTAGTTCAACTTAAAAGGGTTAAACTAATATATTATATAGACTCATTACATGCAACGTGAGATATTTCAAGCCTTTATTTGTTATAATTTTGATGATTACAGATATGAAAACCTTTTCACAATATTCTAATTTTGACTTTGGGGTTTTCATAAGCTGTAAGCCATAATCATCAAAATTATAACAAAATAAGGCTTGAAATATCTCACTTTGCATGTAATGAGTCTATATAATATATTAGTTTCACATTTTTAAGTAGAATTACTGAAATAAATGAACTTATGCACGATATTCTAATTTTTCGAGTTGCATCTGTATACAAAATACCTTTCGATGATAGCAAAAAAATTTACATGAAGTTGTTTAATTTAAACATATTGTACACCGAGGTTTGAGTGCATCAGCAACTCTGGGAACTGTGTTGCCTAGAGCATTTCCTCCTGATAGCGGCTCCATAGTCAAACATGTCATGTGATTCTGAGTGGTTTGCTTTTATGATTGTGCCTGATGAGGTTGTGAACATCGAAAAGAGTAGGGGACCCAGTACTGAACCTTGATGCACGCCAGAGATTAGCTGATGAAACTCGGACACTGTGGGTTTGTGGTGTAGGGTGCTGACGGTCACCACTTTTATCAGTGGAAAAGGTGACAGTCATCTGGTTTAAGCCAGAGAAGAGGGGACACCCCTATGCCACCCATCTGGATGCATAAAAACACATTTTTAAGTGCTGATGCCTCAAAAATATGTTCACGATGTTCTATTTTAAATAGTTGATTTTTTCCACTGTTAGTTAATCCATTTTCATTTTACAAGTCATATTGGACTTTTTACAAACATTTACTATATTAAAAGGCAACATTTCATCCATTAACTTTTTAGAAAAATGTATCTCTGATCAGAATGGTGAAAACTACTTTCATGATGCATTTATTGTATATAAGTATATAATTCACTATACAAGTATTATATTAAGCTTAGTGTGAAGGAAGTATTTTTTATTGTCAGTGAATGCTATCTTCATATAAACGTAAAACACCAGCAATTCACTTTCTTTTATTTTTTTGTACAAAAGGTATCCATATAGTATCCAACAGATACTTCAACAACAAATGGCTTAAGTCATTTTACAAACCTTCATGACATTTATCCTTTGACTGGACAGAGGAAGCAAGTGTAGGAATATTTACCCACTTCCCGATCAAAACACTAGAAAACAGGCCTGGCTTGAGACAAAGCTAACGAAACATACTTGATACAACCGTCATATTGAGCAGTGCTCTGGAATACTGGCACCTATGACCTTATTTAAATGTACAACAGAAATCACAAAGACGAGCGCAGTGTTAGCAAACACCTAAAAACTGCAATAGCCACGTAAAGAACAGACAGTCTGCTCACAATCCAAAAGCAAGGGGAAAAAAGAGAAGAAAAAACATACAAAGGGGAGAGCAGCTCCATCTCAACTATGTTGAAACCAGCTACAGAACCAATGATTAAAAAAAAAAAAAAAAAAAAGATTTGATGGTAAAATTGCTTTTTGGTTTCACAGTTAAAGTTTAATGCACTGCATGCATGATGCTAACAATGGCATGGGATTGAAAGAACATTAAAAAAAATGCCCAGAAAGATTCAGTTCAGCTTTCTGATGAACATTAACTATTTAAAAAAAAAAAAAAATCAAAAGCTAAATCTAACACACTATCTACAAAATGAAAGAAAACAAAAACAGGGTTAAAAGCACTTCTCCCTATCTCCGGTATCGGCCTCTCTCCTTTTCCCTCTCACGATCTCGAATTCGCTCTCGTTCGCGATCCCGTTCTCTGCCGCGCTCTCGTTCTCGGTCGCGGCGTCCGTCCCGGGGCCGGTCTCGCTCTCTCTGCCGGTCACGCTCGCGCGGGCGACTCCTGCGTCCGCTCACCACGGCCTGTGTTCGTCTCAGGAAATCGTCCACACGCATGTCGTAGTCGTGCTGCCAAACAAAAGTTTGAAAGTACGAGTAAGCAAAAACGTAACATCTAAAAAAAACACACCGGCTCAGTTCCAAAACCTAGTGAGCTGGTCTAGCCAGTCGACCCAACACTCAGAGACTGAAGACATGTAGTGTTGGGTTGCTAGGAGGAGTTCCCACTACTTTGGAACGCGGCTGGGCGATATCGATAATTTATATCTGGATATTATTAAAATTTGTGATATTTATGGTTGGCTAAACTAAGATATGAAGAACTAAGAACTATTTTTGTAAATATTACTCAATATATACAGTCCATAAGTGTATGATTCAAACTTTTCCCATGGTCTAGTGTTAAAAAACACTTTTTTTTTTTTTTTTTTTTTACTTGGAGAATCGCAATACATATTGATTTGGCACCCAAATATTGTGATAGTATCGATTTGGCATTAAGCGCCACTGACCAATTTAAACGCCTCTGATTGGTCATTGCATTCAGCACTCAACAGAAATGTCTGTGATTGGCTACAATGCTCAACGCTGTTAAACGCGTTGTTAATAGAAACCTTTGATGCTTTTCACCGAGTGTGAAGCGTTTGAAAGCAGCCGCCATACGAAAAATGTTATACATATAAATCAGTGTTTCTCAACCCTGTCCTGGAGGACCCCCAACACTGCACATTTTTAAGGTCTCCTCTTTCTGACACACCCATTTCAGGTCCTGGAGTTTCTTCTAATGAGCTGATGAGTTGAATCAGGTGTGTTTGATTAGGGAGACAAAGAAAATGTGCAGTGTTGTGGGTCCTTCAGGAGCAGGGTTGAGAAACACACATTACTGTGATAAACACGATATTCCCTAAATTCTATGTCATCAGCAAAAAAATGTCACTAATATTCGATGTATCGCCCAGCCCTAGGTAGTTTTCGAGCCGCTTCAAGTGGCTAAACTTTACCAAACTGGAGGCGAAAGAGCGAACAACCCTCTTTTCCCTGAAGCGGGCATCGTGGGGCATGGGATGGTGTCCGGAGTAAGGAGGGTGGGCCTGCGGTGGAGGAGGATGATGATGATGCTGGTAGTACGGGTGCTGGGGGGGGTGCTCCATACCAGGGTACGGGGCCTTCAGGAAAGAGAAAGAAAAAAAGTGTCAGAATAAAAAAAAAAAAAAAAATGTATGAGCAGAACAAGAGATTCAGAAAACCCAGGGAATACAGTCAGTCAATCTTACCATTCCCTGCCATGGTGGTGGAGGCCCGATGTTGTGGTGGAATTCTCTCATGTAGTCATTATAGGACTAGAAATAAGAAAATAAGTGTTAATAATGTTTATATATGTTCATTCATGACTTCAATTCAAGTTAACTAGCAACTACAATAAAACAAGCTGGGAATTCAAGTCAAAGTTGAGACTATTGGCTTTTTATTGAGTATTCCTGGTGTCACTGTGCATGTTATTACCCCTCCAGCCAAATAATAAAAACAGTTTTGTCTTCATAATCTTACAAATATAGAATACCTCCACCTTTGAAACTAATTTACTAATCGCTAAGGCTTGAATCGCTCTCTTATTTTTCAACTCCACACCTTCATTCTGGTATGTAATGCCGATTTCTTCCAATTCAATGATATTCCAATGGATAAAATAAAGTCTCTGACTTTTTTTCTGATCATCAAAATTTAGCTCTACAGGAGATTTTATCAATAAAATGGGTTGCGAATGGTGTTTCATGTTGACTTAAAAGTCCAGAAAAACTTACTCCGTTGAGAAACACATCTCTCCTGACACCAGTGAAGCGCCTGTGAAGAGATATTACGTGAAGTTATAATACACAGACCATTCAGAAGAGCAGGATAATGAGGGGAAAGACGAGACCAACCTGTCCACAGGCTGATTGCGAGGGTCTTGCATAAAACCTAAACGGACAGCGAAAGTGAGACAGATTTCACCAACGACAAACAATAAAACCAAATCACAAATTTACAATTTCATTTAAAAACACAAAAGCTACAACAATATTGGCCAAAAAAACAACAACAAAAAGCAGCAAACGTTCAGGGTGCAGTTCAGATGCCATACTTTCACCTACGGTACAACCCTTAAAACACAAGTCACTCGATAAAGAGCCGTAACGTCTCGTTCTTTCGGAAACATGAGCTCTACACATTGCAGATATTGACCTGGTCTCTGGGGGAATTCTGGAGTGTACTCAATCCTGGGCCGCTTCCGGTTGTGCATGTCATATTCTTCAGGACGACGCCTACATAAATCAGGTACATTAATGTGAAAGATGGCACTGATTTAAGAAAACAGACAGACATGAAGCATACAGTCAACAACACTTTTCTTTCAGTTAACAGTGTGTGTGTGTGTATTACATATTTTAGCGGATTTCTTTCTCACTGTACAATCTCATTTTAGTTAATGATAAAATACTTGGTGAGCAACTAAGTTAATTCCTAAACGGCATGACACATCAAGTAAAACACGTCTGTACATTCACACAAACCTAGGATACAATTTTTCTTTTTGCATGTTAACATCTTATTGTCCTGCATAAAACAATAGTCTGGGTTCAATACAATCTACTCTCAGCATTTGTGGAAAAATGTTGATTAGGGCTGGATTACAATTGATCAACTAGTTGGCTAGATTTTTTATTTAAATGGTTTAATTTTGGATATTTGACTTTTATTAGGGTCTTTCAATTCATCTACTTCACAGCCGTCATGTTTACAGCATTGTTGTGTTTTTGCAAAATTGCATCAAGTTAAAAAAACATCTCAAGACCACTGCATTGTTGCATTCCTGACTGATTTTAAAGTTATACTTCTTACAAACAACCCAAAAAATGATGTCTGATTGGGGTCAGGTGATGAAAGTTAGAGCTCATTTAAAAAAGAAATAAAAAAATCACGGCTAAGATGTTTAGATAAACGACAATAAAAATGCAGTTTCGAGAGTAAAGACACAAGTGCTTAGAAATTTTTAAAAAGGTGCATTAAAAAAGTGCTTAGGAAATGCTTAGTGAACCAGATAACTTTAGCAAGGATACCAACAAAAGGTAATCAACACAATGCCACAAATGCTGTTGCTAGAGCTGAACCCAGAACAGTCCTTTAATACTAAGGCCACATTGATGTGTTTTTTTCAATGCTCAATCCTCAGCAGAGCTCTACGTTGTGAGTATTTCACTGCCTTCAAGTGTAGAAAAGTTTTGCACACCCATGCAAGTGAAATCAGACACCTAAATCAACTCGTGAACTCAAATAACACCATCAGAATAAACCTCCCAATGCATCTCACCCAATTGGAAAATTGTTTTATGGAGCATTTGGCTGCCTTTCGTTGTCTCCCATTCAAGTCAACAGGACGTGCTTGCATTCTGGATACGTGCATGACCATACTTTGTTTGTTGTCATGAGTTTCACATTAAATTGGTCTGTCAAGTTCCCCAAACGCTGTTCTGTTGTGCTCCATCTACCATGCAAAAACATTCAGTGTGCAGTGTCATTTTACTATTTATTTTAGTAAGCTTTTCATTTAAATTGTACTTACATTTTTTGTCATTTCGTTATGTGCTTCAGTCAATTGTATTAGTTTCCACCATTTAGGCTTTATTTTATTTTTTTCAGCTTTAGTTTTGATTTTATCTCCAGTTAGTAACTTAAGTGCTTCAACTTTACATGGAAATAAGAAATGCTGACATGACAACTAACTGAAATAAGTATAATCTCTATATTTTGTGCTTAATTTCAATTAACAAAAAAGCAAAGCGCATTTCTCCGTTGACTTGACTTGGAAGTAAAAACAACAGAAAGCAGCCAATGACATCCAAATAGTAATGAAGTCAATAAAGTGTGATTAATATATTTGAGTGCTTAATTAATGACTAATTTAAGTTATGATAAAATGTTACCAATATATTTTTGGATACCAGTTGTTGATCGGTCAAAGCTGCTACTATTTCATACTGCCTATCACTTGACAAAGATATCAGATAGTTTGCGTATAAAACCATCAAAGTACCAAGAATACATGTATAGAAGTTAGCATTAATGTTATAGTCCTGGACTTTAACAGTGTAACAGTAGAGCCCTGCTCAGAATTGTATAAAGACTTTCGCTGTGTGTCCTGAAGCCAGAAAAAACCCACATGCCTTCAACTGTGCCATGAGGGATTGTTAAACACTTTTGATGAGTCTTTCTAGAAAGACTGTTCCTAAACTCTACTCGAACACATACTCGATAAATAGGTGCCCTTAGTGAAAATGTCATTCTAACAAATGGTGAGAAACCCAATGTCAAAAACAACAGTATCTACAGTGGAGAACAATAAAATCTGGTTGAGAGTGTGACATACCGCATTCTTGTAGTTTTGTGACTGCTAACGTTGGCAAATACTTTTAAAGAGTAAAAGTTCATATAAAAGTCCATCTTATGCTTTAACACATTTTAAATGGGAGGGCCTGGTAAAGCAGAAGAAGGGGGGAGTGATAAGGAGTGGTGCAGTCCATTGCAAAGCAAACCAAAAAGACCAAGAGAAGATCCAGACATCTGGAAATAACCCTTCTCTTGGGATACTCAGTCCATGGAGGGCTCAGAGAAACACAGAAGAAGGGAAGGGTGGAGGCATCATCATTTTACACCATCTTTAGTCCAAACCGCCTACCTACCACCAGCTGGAACATCCCATCGATTGAGCTTTTTGTAACAAAGAGGGTGGGGAAAGGGGAGGGACGTGTACACGTGTAATGCATCCAAATTGGAGTCCATCAGTTGGGGCTTTGGCCAGACAACGTGTAAATTGACAAACTTCCTCATAACGTTTGTCTGGAGAAAGTAAGGATGCGTTTAAGTCCTTTTTGGGGCCTTTCTTTGAGCACTGTGGTATGGAACAGAGTTCATGTAAAGCAGTGCTCTATAGGGACAGTCCCTGGTGCGATTCGAGTCCATATGCACTGCAAACGGGACGACTACTCACTCCAGCAGCTTTGCAGAAGAACATGCTCTTTTTTTGCCCTCCCTCCCTGTCTCTCCCTCTCTGTTTTCATGCTTTCCTTCACCGCTTGACGCTACACCTCCGCACACTTCAACTATCTATATTCTTAAGCACACACTGGAGCTTTTTCTGGACAGGAAAACCATCAAAGAAGTCCCAAATACGCTCCTCTTGAAAGCTTTTTTTTTTAACAACGACTGCTTTCTGCCCCTCAAATCGATGTGCCATCTTCTCTTTAATTATTAAGGCTCCTTTTAAAAGAGTCCCCAATTTGACTGGCTCTATCCCCCATGGACACTCCTGCAAGAAAAGGCTTTGGGAACAAATTTAAACACAGTCTCATCTACAGAAAGAAACAGACCTCAGTGCTACAACTAAAAAAAAGTTAACTAGACCATTCTTAGGCTTAAGTTGTTAACAGTTAACAGGCATATCAGGTCAATCGTTACACCATTTCTGCTCCCATTAACCATCAAAATTAACAATAGCACGTAGGATTTATGCTGTGACTTTCCCACAAAAGCCGCAGCCGGTCCGGTCTGCTCTGGTCAGCTTGGTTCGTTGCTCTTCTCTGACCCTCGCTCAAGTGACGATGAAGACGAAGGTGGAAAAATAACAAAAACACACTTGTTCCCTTTGCATCAGGTGACAGGGACACAAGTGCGCACTATCAGTCCAAAGAACATTTCTAACCTTCCCACGTCCCGAGGGACGGGCTCTCTGTGGGGTAGTCGGCCCCGAGATCGAGGCTCTGAGTGCATCCTCCTCTTGTGGCGCATTTTGTGAATGACCTGATACAAGTCAATGCTCTCATCAGGTGGGAAGAGCATGCACAGCTGTGTCCCGCAGTCTGGTTCGATCTCCTGCAGTCGGCCGTTTGCAGAGGTCCAAGGGATCATGCGGGACAGTGAAAAGAAAGAACGTTAACGTTTGTTTTTATGAATAAGCTAACCAGTTTTATGCATATTCCTTGGCATCTAGGCGGCTAAAGAGTAGGGGTGTCACAATATATTGTGTCACAATATATCACAATACAAAAATGCAACAATATGTATCGTGGATAGTGACTATATATTGTGTATTGTTCACCCAAAATTAAAATCAAGGTGTGTGAAAAAAATCAAGTTTACAGAGTTTTAATGTCAGTACTACTATATATAATGTTGAATATAATGTATAATAATTGGGGCTGTCAGTTAAACGCGTTATTAACGGCGTTAACGCAAACCCATTTTAACGGCGTCAATTTTTTTATCGCGCGATTAACGGTCTTTTTGGCCTAGCAAACTTTGTAGTTTTTTTCACATGCTTTTGCAACAGGACGCAGCGCTGCGCTATGAAACCCATTCATTTCAATGGCTTGCGCCGCGCGAGGACGTTTTGTTGCTTCGTCGACCAAAGCGCAAGCGGATCTAGCTAGACCGGAAACAAAACAACAGGCACGACGCACACACTCGTTTGGGCTTGCGAGCCGGCCAAATAGTTGGTTAACGTTACGTTTTGAGTGGATGACGAGCGCGAGACGCCGAAATGGATGCCAATAAGATTCTGAATGGAAAGTTTAATTTTAAAAATTTGCCAAATGGTTCCACTGACGAGACCAAAGTGATCTGTGTGTTTTGTTGTTGTGAACTGAGCTATCATCGTCATCGCAGCACGTCCAGTCTGAAATACCACTTGATGATGGCCAAGCACACAAGCACACACACACACACACACACAGCTGATGCGAATTCTCCGCCCCCTCGTCAATATCAGGACCTCGTCAGGATTTCTTTCACCCTTTTATTGATGGACAGTGTTACATTGTGTGAGAGATTATTTGCTCCAAGTGAGAATGTTAGTGTGAAATTGAACACAGTATATGTCAATGTTGTTTTCAATAAAAAACATTTGCACAAAGCAAGCCGCTCCACTTTTCCATGTTGATAAGAGCGTTAAAATGAATAAAAATAATGGGACAAAAAGAAATCAAGAGACATTTAGAATAGATAAAAATGTGTGATTAATCGCGAGTTAACTATGACATTAATGCGATTAATCGCGATTAAATATTTTAATCGTTTGACAGCACTAATAATAATGCAATGGGGGAATATTTGTGGGTCCTGATAATGCCAAATGTCTTGTTACCAGTAAAAAATGGCCTACATTATTTAAAATATATCTAGTCAGTGAAAGAGGGCAAGCTTTTTTGTCTAAAATAATTCTGTATTTGTAGTCTGTCGTCTGTTTTCTTTCGTTTTGAATTGTTCTGTTTAAAAGTAGACATGTCTGCGAGGCAAGTAAGCTGCCTTATACGCTGAGTTTCGGTTCATTTATGAGACGAGCTCCAGTTCACGCGCTGGCGCCTCCGTTTCCTGATTATCTATCGTCTGCTATATTTACTTCTTATTTATTAAATCCAGGCAATTGGTTGATGAAACATTGATTAAAATTAAGATACAATTAATACAAAACGAAATTCATTTTAAAGAAAGGTTTTGTGCTTTCTGTTTGATGTCTCTGTGAAAAGTTTTAATGCTTTTCAGAGCGGTCACGTCCGTAACATTGTTTTTTCCTCTATGCAAACTATAAATGCGAACACGAAAAATAAAATAAAATGAATATTTTATGTTCTATGGAGAGTTAGGCTACTCATAATTTGTATTCTGAATACGTAACAACGGTACATGTATTCCGTTACTCCCCAACACTGATATTAGTAGCCTATATAACCTTAACTACAAGATATTTTAATAACACGGTTTTGGCGGTTATAGAATTCTAATGACGTGTTCAACTATAACCGTCTGTCTCACGGTTATATAATAACCGTCACACCCCTATGAGAGGCTAGTGAGAAATCAACCGGAAATCAAAATTGTGTTCTTAGTGCATGTTAGTGTTTGGTCTCATCAATAAGGATGGCACATATATAGCGTTAATTACACCTTTGATTTCCCTCGATGTTTGTTCAGAGTCTGTAGTGCTTGTAAAATTAAAACAAAAAATTAAAAAGAAAAAGAAAAGACAGACGCTTCATATCTTTTACATTTTCCCCCTCAGTTTTCGACCAATAGCTGTCATCAACAAATATCATTAATACCAGCAAAACTGTGTGTGAATGTAAAGCTGTCAGGGTTAGGTTATAGATGTGAAATTTCCAGCCATAAAAATCTAATATGCGTGTATCTTTTTTTTCTGGAAACTTAACTTACTTTAATATTTTAAAAGAAAAGAATAAAAAAAATGCTGGGAAAAATGGATCCCTTCTGGTATAACATCCTCTTCTTACAATCCAATCAATGGATACAAGTGGATAAAAACAAGTAAAAGGAGTTAATAAAGAAAATCATGATAATACGGCTAACCTGTCCATCACGTCCAATCTTCACAGGCTTGTGCTCATTCCACGGGTTGGAGAGGTGAGCAGTTTTTGTGAAAGGTAATTCCCGCCTTTAAACAAAGAAAACAAACCTCAATAGCTCAACTGTAAACTAACAACAAATAGCCAGACGGGATACTGTTTTCTCATGGTTTAATACCTGCAAATCCAGTCAATTTTGAAGACTCCTCCAAGCATCTTGGCATTCATGCCTGCGGGCAGAACCCAGTGAATGGGAGAACCTCCATGATGAGACTCAGACGAGAGTCGAGCAAAACCTGAAACACACACACACACACACACATCCTTAAGTGAACCTGCATTAAGCCACTCCACATGAGTTTCCATTCACTCAGGTAAAGGGAAAGTGATGTGGGTTTAATGAATATGGTTTTCCCTTGAGCATGTAACCAGAAATGATGGACAACAGACTAAAATTATGCCATTTTACAAGACAATGATATTATTAAAGCCATGACACACCAAGCCGATGGTTGGCCCAGTTTTTTCAGTGTGTTTCCGAACTGTCGGCACTGGTTGGACATCGTCTGGGACTCTGGGGTATTTTAAACGATTGAGCATGTTGAATCAGCATCCGTTGGCGTGGGTGAGAGAGAGAGATCGCTCTGATTTCAGCTTAAGGCGGGCGTACACGGTGCGATTTTTGCTGTTTTATGAGCTCGCAGATGATTTTTCACTCGGGAGAAATCGAGTGTGAACAGATCATGGTTGCGAACTTTCCCGCACGTCAAGTCACCTTTATTTATACAGCGCTTTTAACAATACAGATTGTTTCAAAGCAGCTTTACAGTGATAACAGGAAAATAATTCAACAAAGTTTGTTTTGGCTGTACAGCAGATCTAGAAGAAAATAGCATCATAGTCCAGCTGTTCAGCGATGGTTAATTTTTGTTGTAAAAAAGTTATTAATTTAGTTCATTTATCTATACAGCCGCTCTGGAGAAAACAGTGATGTCATCGTCCAGCTGAGTTCAGTACTCATATAATGGTGTCAATGCAGGCAGATCAATAATATTGTTGAATATTAACATGCATAACCCGCATGCACAAAAGAATGATAAAAAGACATCACGCTGTCATACGGAAGTAAACACAGAGAACCTTAAAGCAAGCGTTTATTGATGGTGTGATCTGCCGTGGGCGACAGCGAATTTATGCACAGGCAATATAAAAAACAAAGACAAGGATATGAAAAAACAAAGAAAAGAAGAGTTTTTAGCATTATGAAATGGGCTAGGGGTGGGCGATATCTCAATATTTAAAATATATCGAGATATTTTTTAAACACGATAAGGATTTTGACATATCGTATATATCGATATATTGTTTATATTTAATTCTGATTTCGCCACTTTGCCTTCTCTGCGCTGTGCTCGCCCCCGCCTCCTTGCTTTTGTCCCCCCTCCCCTCGAGTGTTGTCTCATTCAACATAGCGGTGCCCGCAACTAGCCCGGAGGCTACAGAACTCGTCTAAAAAAATCGTCTTAAATGCTGTCTTACATGCACTTCTTGAGGCACACACGCACACTAGCAAACACACGCAAGGTCTCTCGCTCTCTGTCCCTCTCTGCCGTGCGCACGCTACACGGTTCTTCACGCAGCCTTTCGAAAACCGGGACACAGAGAGTGGATAAATTTCCCGGGACAGGTTATTAAAAAGAATGACAATCCCGGTAAAACGGGACAGGTGGCAACCTTGCGTCGTTGAATTATTATTTTTGTATACAGGGATTTTAAAAAAAAAAATTTTGCAGAAGCACTTTGGACTACAAGAACTGCCTACCTCTTTGCACTCCAATAAAAAAAGTGGTATTTGGCATATTTGTTTTTGCAGTAGTTTTTGTTGGGTTATTTTTCCTGTAAAGATAGAGATATATATCGTATATCGAGATATAGCAAAATATATCGAGAAATATTTTTTGCTCCATATCGCCCAGCCCTAATATGGGCCCTCATGTTTGCTTGTATATAGAGCTGTCACTGTAATACTTATGAGCTCTGACACATCACTGTCCTTCACTATCTTTCACAACTGTCTTGATAGCATCGGCATGTAAAATCTTTGAGGTGACTCCCATGAGCGTTGAATGTTGCTGTTGATTGACGCATGAATTCGGATATCACTGTCGCATTGCGAAACATCTGACCTGTATCGGATTTAACACCACATATGGAAGTGGCCCAAATCAGAATTTAAAAGATCAGATTCCATGTGGTTTGTGCCATTCACACTGTCATGACAAAAATAGAGTCACGTTTTTTTTTGTGCGCCACATTTACCATAGGTCTGAACATAGCACTAGTATGGTTTCCCTTTTAAAATGACGAATATAGACTGCTAATACAGAGTTATTTCCTTACACGCTGGCACAGAACACACATGCTAGTTGACATTCGTCTGTAGTCCTTTTGGCGTGTTCAAGCGCAACTTTTTGGCCGAGATTTAGTTTTTGTCTTTTATTCCTTTTATTTTAGTCATGTTGGTTGTTTGCATTATTGATAAAGGATATATGTGTACAGCACTTTGTTGAACACTTGTTGTTTTTAAAAAGTGCTATATAAATAAACTTTGACTTGAGACGAAATCGACACGAGGCAACAACAGTCAGCTTTTGTCGGATAGGTGTGTCACTTATTTTATGTGTCAAGCATCAATGTTGTTGTTCTTAATCAAAACGTTCATGGCAGTCCATAGAAATGTGCAGTAATTCTTTTTTTATTTATTGCTAAAACATACAAGTGTTATTGGCACTCTGACGTTAGTCACTCTTAAATCAGAGCAAATCACGTGCTCAAATTCTTGCTTATGGGTTTATTGTCCATTTATGTTGGGTATTCCTTACGGCAGTTTTTCTTTTTAAGACCTACCTTGAAACTTTCCACTCTCCCTAACTGAAAAGATTAGCACAACACTTCGAGCAGCGCGAAAAGCAGCGTTGAGTTTTTTCTCGTTGACAGGCAGAGTGGACCACACACCCTGTGAAGAGAGAAAGCACGTCATGTTAACTGGGTTAAGCTTCCATTAAACTCTTAAATCAAACTGTAAACAGGGCTGTGAGTGGCAAACCTTTGCTTTAGCCAGGGACACATTCTCATGGTTGTTGCTCTTAATAAGAAAAAACCTGGCCTCTCTCAGGATATACTTCAGCTTGCTGGTTTGATCTTTAAAAAAAAAAGACAAAAGGCGAGAAAAGCATATTATTAAACTGGTCACAAAATGGCTGCAGGCAACACCAAAAATTAAAATATTTGACAACGAATTTTAATAGTAGTTAGTCAACTCTTTGCATCACATTTCAGTAGTAAAAAATCGATTTATGTGACAAATAAAGACTAATAAATTTGCTAAAGGCAAGTTGCCTGAAGCAAATTTTAGATTGGTCATGAGCATATAGTTTTGTGTTTACAAAATGCTAAATTTGAAAGAACAGATGCTGTTGATAATGTTCAACTAGAGGTACACGTCAACACGCAGTTCAGAGGTTTAGAGGCTCTACAAACTGATTACATTTGTCTCCATATTTCCCCCCATGTTTTGACATTGCACGTACAAGATATAGGGGCACATATAAAAATATGTTACTCCATATCTGCTAAACCAAGGTTCTTCAACCAGAGAGTCCTCCAATTAATGTTTGACCACATATTAATTTTTCGTTAAATTAAAACATGGGTAAAAAATTACAATGTCACATCATGCTAAGCACCCTCAAAGGTTTGCCATCATACTGGCAAACACAAGTGGTTTAACGGATCACAAAACTTACGGTTCGGATCATATTATGGTTTTTGATTCACTTACATTTTTACCAGCCAGCGGTGTGAATAATTAATGTCTTCAACATGTGAGTTGGACAAAGATCAGACCACATTTTATAAGTAATCAATCTAACAATCTAGGTACTTTTAGGCCCTGTCCCAAATGGCACACTCCGGATTGTGGACTTCCTCAGAGTCCACACTTCGGTGACGTCATGTAGTGCAGGCCTACAGGGCCCTTAGCGCGAGTCCGCGAGGGCGCATTGAGAGGTTTTTTTGGGACAGACTCGATCGTCACGCCGGAAACAGGAAGACGGTCTGATTGTTGTTATGGACAGGAGCTACAGGTTCGGGGAAATATGCTGCCTATTGTTGTTGTGTTTACATATGACTCAGTAAAGCCCTGACATTCTGTTCTATTTATTTAATGAATCATAATGCGATCGTATTATTCAGCTCGCTATTATTAGCCTATGTTTGAGACATCAACCACTGGTCGATGATCATAATGTTTGTATAAACTTGTCATAAAAACCGTAATGATAATTACACTTAAATATTTTCTTCTCAGCCATGTTAACAATTGTCCGTGAGCGAAATCTCCTCCCATCCGTTGTCTGATTGGCCTTTCGCAAGGACTCCTGGGTAGTTAAAGTGCGTGGAGCCTGCATCTATGAGGGCTTCGTGGAAGACCGCTTCAAGGGTACAAAGGGGGCGCTGCTGAGCACACTTCAGAGCGTTAAAATGCTAAATGGGACGGACTACGGACTCGTAGACTCGGCGAGCACGCGCAATTTAAGTCCACGAGACTGAAAGTCCGCATGAAGTGCGCCATTTGGGACAGGGCCTTAAAAGGGTTCACAAACTCTGAAACTTGCAACAAAAAACACAGGATTCACTGCTTGAAAAAATATTACTGCTAGAGATTACAGACATGACAACACAATTTAAATGCACAAACATTATCTGAATCTGAGTGTGATGTTCTTACCCTTCCTCACAGCTCTGACGGAAGAGGACAGTTTTTCATGTTTCTTTTCAGACCCTAAAAGTCAAAGAGACAGCAGGCTTTAACATTCAGCTCAAAATGCAGACAGAAACCGCTGGCGGTCCATGATTTTGATTGGTCCTACACAGATCATGAAACACGCCAATGCTGCACAACTGGATTTAAAGATCATTAAGATTCATTCCCACAAGCCTTACATCATGGTATATGATTAGAGAGTCTAGTTCACACTATTTCAGGTTGCCATTAGGTGTGTAAAAATCTAATCTGTAATCTGACCTGCTCCGCCAAACATTTAGTCAATTTATACGTAAGCCAATCAACAATTAAGGCCCTGATACACTTCAAGCAAAAATCAAATAAAGAACTGGTGTGACAAGCTCGAACAAAATCAGGCCAAAAAAAAAAGTATGTTTGGAGCTTGTTTTTGGTTCGCTCCGACTGGTAAACACCTTCGACTACCATTGGTCCATGGTGATGTGAATGTGGGCGTGGCTCTGAGGCTCCGCCTTCTTTGACATGGAAATCTTCTCAGGCTAATTTCTTCTGTTCAGTCTGTCAAGGTCAGATGCGAGTGAAAATGTGAACACAGTGGAGAGCTGCTTTATAGCAGAAAAAACAACTCTAATAGTTTTTCATGTTTAATATGGCAACACTGTTTGCTTTAAAGCAGGGGTGTCAATGTCCAGCAAAGTTTAACTCTGAATCTGCTAATCAATGCGTTCATGGTTACTAGAAACTTCCAGGCAGGTGTTTTCGAGATAAACTCTGCATGACAGTGGCCCTCAAGGAAATCGATTGTATAAAGTGAGATAAATAAACATGACGTGACTTGAGCTTGTGCAAACACATCCACAGCGCTATGAACAGATGCTTTCTTGCCTACAGTTTCATGTTGTTATTTTTTTATTCATTTATAGTTTCATTTTTTGTTATGTTTGTTTTTGTTATTGAGAGGAAAGCATGCAGCACATATTCATCTAAACACTGCTCTGAGAAGCCTTGGCAGCGTCGGGATGTTCACTAATAGTATATATCTCATGTATTTCGAAGACATTTTTGCGATTAAAAAGTTGCGATTTTCTAGGCTGATATGGCTAGGAACTATACTCTCATTCCTGCGTAATAATCAAGAAACTTTACTGCCGTACCATGAGAGCAGCAGGCGTAATGATATGACGCAGCGCCTGAAAATAGGCCACCTTCCTTCAACACAACGGAACTATTTTCAGGCGCTGCGTCATATCATTACGCCTGCTGCTCTCATGGTACGGCAGTAAAGTTTCTTGATTATTACGCAGGAATGAGAGTATAGTTCCTAGCCATATCAGCCTAGAAAATCGCAACTTTACATTTTCCGTCGGTCTTAGTGCACGATGTAACTACAGAAGAGTCAAGTTTTAAATAGGGAAAATATCGAAACTCTTTGGTCATTTTTTTTTTAGAAATGCTAATGGTCTTATCCACTTCAATGATGTATGCTAAGCTATGCTAAAAGTGGTACCGCCAGAACCGGAGATCGGCTGAATGGATTCAAAAACGGTAAAACTCAACAGTTTATCTCTGGGGGAGTTGTAAAATGAGCCTATTTCCAAAAAAAGTGGAGTATCCCTTTAAAGGGGATTTATTATGACCCTTTAGTTTTCACAAGATGTAATAGAAGTCTCTGTGAAGTTTTAGCACAAAAAATGTGCCCCTGTGTGAGCAAAAACACCGTTTTCATGTGTGTCCCTTTAACCTGTTAAGCTTCAAGCCCACTATTGAAAAATCCCCAGAAATGACATACCCAAACTAAAACAGATACAGTTCATGAACCCTTTGCACTAAAAGCACAAGTATGATCTCATTTGAAAGCTGACACTTGGTTGTTTATTGTAAATGTAGAATTAATTATTGTCATAATGAAAAAAACAATTTTAAATAGCTTCAAAGTTTTGTAAAGTTATTAGAAATTTATTTTTATGAAACATCTTCATGAAAATAAAATTGAAGTTGGCCCTGGAGCAATCTAGAAATGCACTGCAGCTAAAGCCATATGTGTGACCATTTTATATTTAAAATCTGAAAATGATAAGTATAAAGCTCTGTATTTAGTTAAATGTTTTTCAAGATCATGTCAAATTACTTTATTTTGATTAGACTCTATTAGCAAACTGATGTTTAGTCATCTTCTGAGTCATCTATTCAGTCTATTGTCTCTATTGTTTTGTGGTGCCCCATTCAGTCTCAGTCTCCCCTGCACACATTTACACCTCTCCAGACTGGTTATTATGGCTCTAAATATGCATTTCTTTTGTCTGCATTATAGCTACTAACGACTGGCTATTCACAAGCTATTCATAGGGTTTCAAACCCTAATTTCTTTTATCAAAGTTCTCACTAAATATTTGAAACTGGTATCAAATGCACTGAAACATTTCAGTAAGCATTCCTATTTAGAAAAAAATCATAAAACAATAACTGCTCGTGGCAGGTGCGCCTGGGCTCGCTAGCATGTTAGCTTAGCACACCATCAATACACGACCATTTATGAGATTAAAACTATGTTTGCGCTCCAAACTCACTATATAACGCAAGTCTAGTGTTTTAAATAATCTTCTGTGATCTAACTTGGCTTCAGATAAAAAAAAAATCAGACAGAAAATGTATTATTTAGTGTTCTGAACGATGATGAAATCTATATCGATTAGCATTACATTATAAATATAATCTATTATTATGAAATACCTGGCATGGCTTGAAGAACACAGGTAACTCAAATATCATTGCAATCATGTTTATTGTCTTCAAAACATCTTTATCTGCATGTTACAGCGATCTCTGTACTTTCTGTATCACTCAGTGACGTCCTGGAATGTCACATGACTATGGGTCTTCTTCATGATCCATATATGGACTTTTATTGGACATAATAGCGCCCCCATGCTATTGGTATGAATGGAAAACACAGCACATCTCAGGAAGAAGCGATCATTATGATTACATCGACGCATTTGGGTATAAATTCAATAAATATTATTCCTGTCTATAGAAATATGATGTGAATCTATGAGAATATATCAATATTTCTCCACATCTGCACATTGTTGAGCTAAAAGCCCTCAGGGACGTTGTTTTGTGAATCGCTATCATGAGGACAGCACGGAGTGTTTTTTATGAATGGACCAGCTGACGCTCATAATTCATATTAAAGGTATCGACTCGTTTTTTTCATTTCATAACTCCTGACACAAATTAAGACATAACTGTCACTATAAGTTTCTCAGAATACAATAGTGGTCAAATACTGAATCTTGAGTCTTATATCTTTTTAATGATGTATAGTTTGTCAAGGTATAACATTAAATCTGATAGTATATTTGAACTAAATAAATAAAAAAACGCTTCAGTGCGCCGACGCTCTGGAGAAGGTTAAGAGGTTAAATGCAATTGATCTGCTGTTCCCGGCCCCCTTTTCCAGAAGGCCCATGCTTTGGATACTCTGGCAACAACAAAACTGGAGAATGTCAAGCAGCCAAAATGTCAGAAATTGTCAGTAGCGTGTTCAGCCTTACATGTTCGAACTGCAGTCGGAAACTGATAAAGACTCAGGAAGATGTTTCAACTGGCTCACTCAGGGCGGGATCTATGCTAATAGGGCATATCGTCACCAGTCATGGGCGTGGCTTACGGAAGAGTAGTAGAAATCTGAAACCGTTTGTTTGGAGAGACTGTTTATGATTTATGGGGATTGTAAAAAAGGTGGATTTGTACCATTATAGGCTGGTTGCTTACACACACTGTGGACACGTGTTCAAACACCTTCTAAAATTTAACATTTTCCTTTAACATTTCAAAACAGTCAGATTTCGATTATAATGCTTCTAGGAAGCCGTCTATGTAGACCGTGAGGCGGCTGACTAGGGTTTGGAAACAGAGGATTTTGCAAACTACCAGAGAACATCAACAACATGAGCATTATGGGTAGGAATTGGCAAAAATGTGACGATTCGATAGTATTGTGTTATTTGGGCCACGATTCAATATTATTGCGAATCTTAACATATTGCGATACAGCAAGTATTGTACCCGTCAAAATAAAAGTTCGGTTTAACTTGACAGAAATATGTTACTGTTGTACAGTAGAATTTAGATATGTCCCAATGTAATAATACTAACACTAATCCAAATAAATTATCATCAAAACTGAATTAAAGGAATAATCCATGTTTTAATTTTAACAGTAAAGCTCATTGTGCAGCACGTTATTTAACAAAAAGTTTTTAATTTATGATTAAAATTTAAAATTGATGATAAATGATACAATTTGTGTTTTATGTCTTCATTTTATTACCAGAAAAAACACAACACAGAATTAGTGTGAAATATTTTTTCATATATTTTTTTTTAAGTGTTGTAGAAGTTTAATGATTCATAATAGGCTATTTCAATTAATTAGACATGCTTTTTGATTGCTAACAAATTTACACCACGTATCCGTAACACGCCTGCTCCGCAACACTAGCAGTTTCACCCCATAAAAAAAAATCCTAGGGGAAACACTGTAAATAATGTCAAGGTCTTTACTATTCGCTTTTTGATGAAAACCGAAATTTATCCACACTTTCGATTTGAAAAATGTACAACCGGTTGTGATGGTGAAGCCAAAAAAAAATTTTTTTCCCCCTAATAATATAACCAGCCTGCAAACTTCAGTCGCTCATACCTGACGCTTCTGAGCCCGAGGCTGAATGTACAGACTCTCCCTCCGAGAAGGACACAGACTCAGACTGGGAATCACTGGCCTCACTGCGAGTGTCGTAGTCATTCGGTTCATTTCCCTCCTGTGGGTCCTCTTCCTCCAGTTCATACTCTTCCTCTTCTTCCTCCTCTTCTTCATCCCCTTCCTCTTCCTCCACTTCCTTCTCTTCCCCTTCCTCCTGCATGGCTCCTTCTTCGACGTCAGAGCAGTTTCCTTCGGAGGAAGCCACAGAGCTGCCCGTCACATATTCTTCTGAATGAGGCTCTTCCTCTCTGGAGGAGCGACTCGTTCTGCCTGTACTCTCCTCACTGGTCCTCCGCATCTTCTGAAAACAAGTGCATGTATTATAGCTTGCTATGCAACTTATATGATGGATGATTAGTTTTAAAAATATAACTTAAATGTGTTTTAACTGCAACATGCCCATTTGTATGAGTAACTGTGGTAGCTATGGTACAGTTTGACACTGAAATAATGGTAAAAATCAAGTAAAAGAACCACAAAGATGCAAATACAAATCTGAGTATGTCTGATGTAACGTGTCTGCGATCATATGGTGTGCGTAGCAAGTTTGAGCACACGTAGCATGTACGTGTAATTCTCAAACATGAACAATCTCAGTCTCAATCAATCACTTAACACAGTACTAGTCTCGGTCAAACTTAGGGTTGGGAACTGAGAATCTGTCCTTATCCAGAATCAGTAGTGTTTTTTTTTTTTTTTTAAGAGATGCACCGATTGATCGGCTGGTGACCGGAATTGGCCGATTTTCACGTGATCGGCCATGATCGGTGACCGGCCGGTCAGTCTGACATATGCCGATTTTATGCCGGTCAAATGCACTCGGGCGCCGCATGATTAACATCGCTCAACATCAGCATCACGTGCACACGGAACGCACATGTAGGAAACCTCGTGAATTACGGCCGTTTCACACCGCAAGCGTGAGCGGCGCGGATTATTTCCAGCGTGCATGTAATTTTTTTTTTTTTTTTTGTAGAAAAAAAGACAAAAGGGACAATACATATTAATGAACATTTTTCACAAATGTAAATATGCCAGATTATATCCATAGGCTAATTTCCATCTGCAGATCCGCAAGCAGGTAGATGTTACACATAAATACATAGACACACTATACACAGGCTATATACAGAGAAGCAAACAGTGATAACAACATACAAGCCCATTTAATACTGACCCCTTTTACACAACCCATATCACACTGATAATTCTATCCCCTTTATTTTTGTAAAACACTTACTCTTTTTTACATTTGATATATATACTAATGATTACTAAACATGCTCACATGTAAATCAATGAGTGCATTCACACCGGGAGCAGGAGCAGCGGTGAAGCGCCGGTGTCGGCGCAGAGTCTATTTTTGCTGCACTGCTCACGCTCAATTAAAGTGAAAGCACACTTTTGATGGATAAAATAACTAAGATTTATTCCACAGAATTTGCATGTCTGGTGTGTTTTAACAAGAACTGGAGTATATGTCAGAAAAGAAAATTTATTTTCTTTTTGAAATTATTTTTTTTTTAGTTGGATATTGGTATCGGCAGGTCAAACTCTGAAAACTCAGAAATCGGAATCGGCCTAGAAAATTGTAATCGGTGTATCTCTATTTTTTGGGGAAAAATACCAGAACCATACGAAATTCCGGTTCCGAAAACTGTTCTGGTTCGATGTGTGGGCAAAGCAATGCCCTTAGTATCCTTTAATAGCGACGTCTCACCTCATGAATATTAATATAGTAATGAATGCACTGAAAAGCTCTCGCGCTACTCATCATATCAATGCAGAGAGAGACAGAGTAGAGATGCATGATTCATCTTTTAAAGTTCTTTCTCAATTCAAACACCCACGTGATCTTATTCCTAAATGACAACGATTCTCATTTGTTTATTAAACCCTTGACAAAATTACACCGGTACATTTAGATCTTTGTTCACGCTGTCGCTGATCCAGAGAGAGCAGATGTCACGTATGAAACAGCTTCACAAACAGCCTTTTCATCCACACAGTATCATTAGTAGAGGTCGACCGATAGTGGATTTTGCCGATACCGATATTTAGGTTTGACCGTGCGCGATAACCGATTAATCAACCGACTTTTAAAAAATGGATACTGGATATTAAAAAAAAACATAACACTCCAAGTAAAACAGTGCTGAACTGAAATGTGCTGTATTAAATAAATATATAATATGAATATATTAAAATGAGAAGTTCTACAGAACGAATTCTACAGAAAATAATTTAAACATTAAAATATTACAGGTTTCTTTAGATATAACCTAGAAACATACGTAAATTTCATAGGTAACACTTTGCAAGTCCCATTTGTTAACAAGGATGTATTAGTTAGCTTTCATGAACTATATGCATTATACATTTTTTTACAGTACGTTTTAATATTTGAAATAGGGCTGCACGATTTGGGGAAAATGTCATTTTGCGATTATTGAGGTCAATATTGCGTGCGATATGCGATATAATAAACAAATGGTTTCATGAGTCACCTACCTTGCATGGTTCTAAAGCAAAATGCACACACAGATTAGTGATAATTCTGAAATGTGTATTTCTCAACTCAAACTAGCAACAACAACTAAATGATTGATAACACCTATAATGATCAATAAGCCATTGATGTCTGGATACAAATTAATTTAATTTTAATTTAAGTGAACTTCAAACAATCCTCACATAAACCCATAATAAATGTCATATTTACCTGTGCTCTTCCTGTCTAACAGGACATATACAGAAATTGAATAAAGTTATCAAACAGTCTACGCTGCATAAATTATAAATTATATGGACTAAAATCCTATTTAAAGCTACACAAGTTCTTTGGTCAAGAGCAGTGAGTGTTTTTCTCTGTTCCCTTTGTTCTTTGATTAATTTTACTGACAGAAAGCATTATTGGATGCTGGCCCTTTAAGAGTTGCTGACAGAGACGCGGATCTCACACGCGCCTTATTCTCTCACAACTCTTTACGACCATCATAAGGCTGCTCTTATGTTATGAAGACACTCGACAAATGATATTTTGGCATAATTGTGTGTGTTATTGTTCGTTCACTTCAAGCGGAAAGAGAACTGTATTCTCGTACTGAGTACACACTTCTCAGCCGCTCCAGCAACGGACGCAAACCGGAAAAACTATCGGTATGGATTTTTGCCGATAACGATAGTTCCACCAATCAACTATCGGTACCGATATATCGGCAAAACCGATGAATCGGTCGACCTCTAATAATAAGTAATATTCAAAGGATCACAGAAGTACTAAAAGTGTACAGTTCGGATATAAACACTGATGTCTACTGTATAGACGAAAATAGCGTAAATCACCTTTTGAAAGTTGCTTCAAATAACGATTGTATCGATTACATCGTTATGCCACCAGGTGGCGACAAGTGACTTAAAATAACAAGTCATTGAATAATTCATTCAAGAGGTTTGTTCAAAAACGCTGAATCATCCAGTAATGAGTCTTTATGAATCAATCATTCACAACGATTTTAAAGAATATTCTGTTTCACCTGTCTGGATCTTACATGTGTGTTCAAGCATCTTCTAGCCCTTCTGAGAGGGTTTTCTCCACTGCTGGAGATACAGAGAGGTCCCGAAATCTCCCAGGGAAAGCAGAAATGTTGATTTTCCTTCAGAAAAATTGTTAAATACTTTTGCAAAAGCTGCTAAATATGATGTTGAATTTGTTGACATTAACAGTCTATTAAACTCCTTTGACAAGTATAAGGAATAAATACAAGGGGGAATATTTGAGTTGAGTATTGTGCTTTTTTTCCTTACAATTGTTTATTACTTATTTTAATGGAACCGAATCGTAAGCCGGAACCGGAAAATTTCTTACGATTCCCAACCCTAGTCAAACTACATTTAAAAGCTCACCAGAGACAGGTGTCATGCCGCTCTGAGCGGCTTTGCACGAACAGAAACTTCTTGGTCCAACATTGGGGATGATTTCATGGAGTTTGTTCATATAGATCCCATTCTGTTTGCCATTTGTTATTAATAAAGGAATGAATAATTGGTTTTAGATCCATCTTAATGCAAAAACCATCCTCTCTCACCTCTGTCAGTTCAGGCAGCAGAGGTTTGATTCGTCTCTGGGAGTCTCTGCTGCGGGACAGGCCCTTTTCACTATATCCTTTAGGCAGATCAGCCCGGGATCCTCTTCCAGTATGGTTCTTTCTGTCATCATAGATGTCTTCTGGTGCGTGTCTTCCTCTGGGATTGCTCGTCTTTTTGCTGTTTGATCCAGAAGAAGTGGCAGCTCTCTTTAGTTGCTGTCTGGTAGTGTGTCCTGAGGCTCTGAGCCGCTTTGCATCCTGGCTGTCTCCTCGTTCATGCTTCCTTTTAGACCCTGAGGCATAAGGTAAACGAGCAGTTAATGTGGTAACAGAGCCAGACATATAAATTGCAGTAGTGCTTTGTTCCATATTGCGGTGAGAGAGATGGTTTGCTATTGGTCGATCTCATGTGAGTGACAGGTTGCCCCGCCCTCGCCCCAGTTAGCATCAGAGATGTTGTTGCAAGAGGGAAGTATTTTAATAAAAGATTTCAAGGAAGGTTATTTTAGAAAAAAATAATGATGTGCACAGATACATTATTTATAATAAACACTAAAATATTACATTAAAAAAACAGTAATGGACCATTTTGATTTCAAGGTGACTTGAAATATAAACAGTGCAGCTCATTGTGAATATTTTGGATTGATACTACAGTACCCAAACAAACGAACCTGAACACCTGCAAAATGACTTGGCTTACAAGTATGAATAGTTTGAATAATTGGATGCAGTGTTGATTTAAATGTGATCTGGTCAATGCTTTAAAATGGTACCTTTTTTCTCATTAACATCATGTTCACTCTCAGGGTTGTAGAGCTCATCATCCTGGTCAGGAGCATCAGTCAAAATGTCTTCCAGCACATTCAGTTCCCCATCTGGAAATAAAAGCACACAAATGTTGCATTTCAGTTTTAAGTATATTGGCATGTTATAGGTCACTCGCACCAACTTGAAACATTACAATATAGCATAAGTTCGTCCCAATATTTTACAGATAAAAAACAATAATAATATAAATTCAAATTAATTCAGCAAAAAAGCCAAAGTCACGTTTAATATTAAACTGTTCCCTTGAACATGTTGTTGTAAAAAGGTGCAAACACTGTAATTCATCCATTGTGAGACATCAGATATTGAAGTTACATAATATGTGTTTTACAAAATGTATTAAACATAACAGGTCTATTTTTGATGCATAACGTAACCGCAAATATGTCATATACGTTAAACAAATAAAATAGATGTTTCTGTCTAAAACAAAATCCTCCATGATACGTTAGCATCATGCTATGCTAATAATAGCTGTTATGATTCCTCAACAAATGTATATCAACGTCTAGAAAGAATGTGGGTGAATTAATAACAACTAAAACTTCATTAATATCCAACAACTAATAGTTTACATAATTAGAAATAAAAACACATGAAGGTTTTTGTTAAACAAATCTGTGGCTAGGCTAACGTTCCAGGTAAAAAAAAATCTTTACCTTTCTCTTCTCTCCGGTCGACAGACATTTTCAGCCCCCCGTGGATTAAACGCTTTAAAGGGCCCCCCTTCTCTCTGTCTAGATTTGTTCTTAATTAATATGTTAATTCGTCGATATTTTAGAAAATGTGACACACCATTAAATGTTTTGTGCTTTGAGCGTGTTTGTCTGCTTTAAAATGGCGGATCTCTTCCTCCCGCATCGCAGTGTGAATGAGGGTTGCCAAATATTCAGGTTATCACGCCTTTGTTATGTGCATCACTGTCTCAGTATGGCAAGCAGTATTGCATTTATTAATTCACAGGATATGAATTCTTGACATCAACAATTGAATTGCCACTAGTAAAAATGTTCCCGGTTTTGACATAATTTTCCCCTAAGGGTAAGGGTTAGTTTGATGAAAAGTGTGTAGCTACTAAACTTACAGCACTGATGTGAAAACTAGCTTAAAAGGCTTAGTTGCCCACGTCAAAAGTACTGCCCCTTTCCCTCCAACCATATTTTTTTGCGAGGATTTTCTGGTGACAATTTAATAGTAAAGCCTGGTTTAGCCAGTCATGAACGGTATAAAACCATGAGCTGAAATCGTGCCCTATTCCCTACATTCCCTGCTGGGATGTCGGCCATTACTGGCATGCTTTGTTGTTTCTACTCAAAGGCCTAAGAAAGCTGTTTGAGCAGTACACATTAACCAACATCAGAGAATTGTGAACATGCAAAAGTGTTGTTGTTTAATTATTAAAATATTGACTTAAAATCTCAGGGGTACTTCAAGTAAATATGTTAGGTTATAGCGGTTCGGATGATAAAACGTTTAGGAATCCCTGCATTACATGAAAATACATTAATAAACATGAAAACAGCAATAATAATTCTTAGCCAGAATCTTCCATGTTTGAAATATTTTTGTCCATAATCAATAAAAGGTATGATGAAGATATATAATATAATTTGTTTAGTAACACATCATCACATTATAGTTTATCAACTTGCATTATTATGTGTCTCGTAGATGGTCTAATTGATTGAGAGGTGCTTTGGTCAACAAATTCAGAATGGGTTGTTTATTTATTTGCATGACATTTACATGGCCATTCTATATTATGAAAACATTCAAAGCTAAATGGTATGACACAGAGAAGGATTTTTTTAGAAAGGAAAATTTAAAAGTAAAAAGAATTATGAATAATTTACTGCCATTGTGTGAATAATATGTAATCATGCAATTCATAAAGAAAGAACTGTACTCTGATCATGAGCATTATAAAATGTCATTTATTGTAATAACAAATACTTTATTTTCTAAATCTGTTTACGTAATCCAGATTACATCTAATCAATTACTTCCCAGAACTGCCGGTTACTCTTCTTACATAGGACAAACGGCATGGAAAATCAAGTAATATGTTTATTTTACATGAACATTCACATGTATTTGTTTCATTAAAGGTGCTTTATGTAATTTTGTTGACTGTGGAAAGCCATAAAAATGCCATATGTTTGCATAGATTTAAGAAACATGCTGAATTCAACAGGTTCTCAGAAAAACAATGCTGCCAGTTATTCTACTTTTGAAATGTGCTTTCCGGGTCAGAATGTTTTTGTTTTGGTCTGTGATCCCGCCCACTGCCAATTTAACCAATAGTATTTCGACACACCAGGTTGCCAGTTGGTGGAAAACACAGCGTATTGGGTCTGAAATGAACTGGGTGATTGATCACAGTTGTGTCCTAAATCTGGCAACCCGCGTGAGGGTGGAGTCTGAGGAGGAAGTGGCGGGAAAACAACCCTCTCTAATAATTTGACTTTAGACTGCAGCACCCAATTCAACCGCTAGCTTACAATATTACATACTGCAGTCTGCACCTTTAAGTAGATTTGCAATATACACAAAATGCACACTGGCCGTCGCACACACGTTAGGACACACATACCGCATCTCTGTAGAGAAGTATTGAGGGCAAGGCTACATGCATTCACTCTTTTTTATTCTTTTGTGCTTTGCCATCAGGACGAGTCTTTCTGAAACATTTACGGAAAAAGAAACTGCACGTTTTAATAAAGAGGAATGTGATCAGTGCAACAATTGAGATTAAAAAGGCCAGTACGTCCAGGCAGTGGTACTGATACCAGCTCAGTTCATGTGCCTGAACTCGTAGATGTTTAGCTCCTTTATTCCGCATCACAAATTCGATCCAGTAAACTGCCTGATCCAGAGGTTTCATCGGCTGATCATGGTGGATTCTGGACAGTCTCATGACGCTTTCTTTGTATCTGATTAGAGAAGAAAAAGCACTGCTTAACACAAGACAAGCTCTACAAAGCTATATTGACAAGCTATGCTTTGAACTAGAGTGTTTTTCTATGACATCAGGTTTAAAGTGAATAGTGTAGGCGGCCATTTTAGGGTGGTTTCTAAACTACTGAAAAAAAAACTGGTGGAGCCCTTTGGTAATGGATTATTTAAAATTTATGAAAGACTTAACTCACGAGGGATTATTTAATACAGTCTTGAGAGCTTCTGCCAGGTCTTTGGACTTCATTGTATTGATATCAAGGACAACAGCAGCTCCTTTGGTTTTCATGTGCATCAGGTTGTCAGGCTGGTCAGCAAACAGTGGTAAACCCACCATTGGGACGCCATGATAAATAGCCTCATACAGTCCATTTGTCCCGCCATGGGTAATGAAGGCCTTCGTTTTTGCATGTCCTATCAGATAAAATGAAGTCAGTATATCTATCTGACACCAGTTATTGTTCTTTGTGTTTAACCCTCTGATGGTCTTCAAAAAAAAGTCACACTCGTGGTCTTCGGGGTCTATTGGACCCCAGACAACAACATTTAATTTTGTAACCGAACAATATATTTTTTTTTTAACAAATATAATTTTACTCTGTTTATTAATGTTTTTACTCAACATTTGTGCAGTTTTTGGAGAATTTATGATGTTTTTTTTTAAATTTCTATAAATAAATAAATAAATAAATATTTAATTAAATAGGATTTTTTTTTTAAAAACAGCATTTTATGTTAAATAAACTTTATAAAAGACCCAGATTTCTAACTTTCATTCCTGGGGATACCATGGATAATTTTACAAGGTTTAATGTAAGATTTTTGCCCATTTTTTTGGAAAATACAGGTTAAAATTTGTAATAAATCACTTTAACCACTAGATGGCTATAGAGCTCCATTATATGCTATTTGCTATTTGAATTACTGAAAGATATAGTTTCTAAAGTTGGATTCAGTTGGATTCATATCTAATTATCTATATCCATATCTATATTATAAAATCACAATTATAACAAAAATAATATAATTTTTGTCAAAATTTAGCATTTTTTGTACTGAAAAAACACTATGCATGGTAAACCGCATGACTTCTGCAGACAGGGTTGGAGCAGGTTTGGCACTTCACTGTTGTTGTTGTTGTTGTGTGTGTGTGTGTGTGTGTGTGTGTACATTTTATTTTTATTTTTATGTGTACAGTGTCACCAATTTATTTTTGTGGTGGTTCTTCATTTTGTATGATTTTATTTGACAAATTATAAGACTTTTTATAGCCTTACAAATGTATTCCTGTGTGTGTGTGTGTGTGTTTGTGTGTCTGTGTGTGTGTGTGCGTGTGTGTGTATGTGTGTGTGTGCACATTTTCAATGCGTCTAAGTGTTACCAATTTATTTTTGTGGTGGTTCTTCATTTTGTATGATTTTATTTGACAAATTATAAGACTTTTTATAGCCTTACAAATGTATTCCTGTGTGTGTGTGTGTGTGTTTGTGTGTCTGTGTGTGTGTGTGCGTGTGTGTGTATGTGTGTGTGCGCACATTTTCAATGCGTCTAAGTGTTACCAATTTATTTTTCTGGTGGTTCTGCATTTTAGATTATTTTATTTTACAAATGATACGAGAACAGTTTTTATAGTCTGTATGTATTCCTGTATAAATGTATTCCTCTTTATGTGTGTGTTTGTGTGTGTGTGTGCGCCTGTGGTGAGCATGATAATTTTGGATTGTGGATGTTTTTTGCATTGTTGGAAGTGTGCCACTTTATTTCTGTCATTTCTGTCTATGTGTTCTACGTTGTTTCTGATTTTGATGATGTTATTTTGTCTATTTTGATTGCGGGGTCCAATAGACCCCGAAGACCACGAGTGTGACTATTTTTGTCACGCCAACATAAAAACAGATATCATTAATTTTTTTTTTTTTTTTTTTTTTGTAGATCTAGAAAGTGTTGAGAGCCGTAGAAAGTTTCAAACCATTTGGACAAAGAGAACATTTTTTTTAATTTGAGCAAAAGTCATTTGGGGTCCAATAGACCCCGAAGACCATCAGAGGGTGAGCAGACATGACAACACTTTCCTTACCAAGCAAATCATTCTGTGGGATCCAGTCGTAGAGTTTTGTATTGGGGGCGAGAGATTCTGGTGTTTTTCCCTTGTAACGCCAAATAACCTGTGCAAATACACAAATGGAGAAAGTACTCTGTTACTAACGTACACTGAGATAACTGGAACGAGCACTGCCATCGCTAGACGCAATGTGGAAAACTACTTTTCCTCTGATTACTGAAGATTATAGAATAACGCAGGGAGATCCCTCTATATAAGCGGGCAATCTGCCATAGGGAATCAGGTTAATTCGGCTGAAGCGACGAACGCCGAGTCATGCAGCGTGAAAAAGCACGGCCGGTGACACGGTACTCAGAGAACCGAGGTTATGTTAGTAACCGAGTAAGTTCCCTTTCGATACAGTTCACTCGTACTGCGTCACTAGACTCAGTGGGAACCCAGTGCAATCTTGCCATGCTTAGAACTGCAGAACGACAATCGTTCTGGGGCCCTGGCCTATTTAATATAGGGCGATATAAAACCCAACAACAAGGGACTCGGACTACATGTCAGAGTCGCATGGAGGGTTCTGGTGGGTTGAGCTCACGTAGAGGTCAATGCTAAGCTTAAACAGACAGGACCTGTGCTTGTAGCGCAGGGACATCCAGGTTATAGAATCTGGCGAATGTGGACGGAGAGGATCAGCCGGCCAGCGCACAAATGTCACCAATGGACACTCGGCTGGACTGCCTGAACGAGGAGAGCGCTTGATATATACTCTTAAGGCCCGAACAGGGCAGAGTAATTAAAGGGTTAGTTCACCCAAAAATGAAAATGATGTCATTAATGACTCTCCCTCATGTCGCTCCAAGCCCGTAAGACCTCCGTTCATCTTCAGAACACAGTTTAAGATATTTTAGATTTAGTCCGAGAGCTTTCTGTCCCTCTATTGTAAATGTATGTACGGTATACTGTCCTTGTCCAGAAAGGAAATAAAGACATCATCAAAGTAGTCCATGTGACATCAGTGGGTTAGTTAGAATGTGTTGAAGCATCGAAAATACATTTTGGTCCAAAAATAACAAAAACTAGGACTTTATTCAGCATTGTATTGTCTTCCGGTTCTGTTGTGGATCCGCGTTCAGTGCCGCCGCTGACGTAAGACGCTGCTGACGTGTGTCTGGTGTGTGTGTGTGTGTGTGTGTATTCTGGTTCTGTTGTGGATCCGCGTTCAGTTCCGCCGCTGACGTAAGACGCTGCTGACGTGTGTCTGGTGTGTGTGTGTGTGTGTGTGTGTGTGTGTGTGTGTGTGTGTGTATTCGGGTTCAAATAAATCTGGCTGGGCAAAAAAAAACAAATCTTCCTCTGTGTGGAAATCCTTAGACATGTTTGCGAAGATTGTTTTGTTTCCAGCGTGCGTCTCCCTCAGACTGTAAACGAAGCTCGGGCGCACCAGACACACGTCAGCAGCGTCTTACGTCACACACACACACACACACACACACACACACACACACACACCAGACACACGTCAGCAGCGTCTTACGTCACACACACACACACACACACACACACACACACACACACACACACACACACACACACCAGACACACGTCAGCAGCGTCTTACGTCAGCGGCGGCACTGAACGCGGATCCACAACAGAACCAGAATACACACACACACACACACACCAGACACACGTCAGCAGCGTCTTACGTCAGCGGCGGCACTGAACGCGGATCCACAACAGAACCAGAATACACACACACACACACACACCAGACACACGTCAGCAGCGTCTTACGTCAGCGGCGGCACTGAACGCGGATCCACAACAGAACCAGAATACACACACACACACACACACACACACACCAGACACACGTCAGCAGCGGCACTGAACGCGGATCCACAACAGAACCAGAATACACACACACACACACACCAGACACACGTCAGCAGCGTCTTACGTCAGCGGCGGCACTGAACGCGGATCCACAACAGAACCGTAAGACAATACAATGCTGAATAAAGTCCTAGTTTTTGTTATTTTTGGACCAAAATGTATTTTCGATGCTTCAACACACTCTAACTAACCCACTGATGTCACATGGACTACTTGGATGATGTCTTTATTTTTTTTCTGGACAAGGACAGTATACCGTACATACATTTTCAATGGAGAGACAGAAAGCTCTCGGACGACATGAGGGCGAGTCATTAATGACATAATTTTCATTTTTGGGTGAACTAACCCTTTAAGACTCCTGCTCACTCTTAGCTTCTTGTTTCTACAGCTCCTTCCGCTAGCAAATTCATCACTTCGGTGCGGAGGACATGAGCCACGTTGCTCCCTATACCGAGGTGGTGACGAGTGACGACACCCCAGAAGTGGAGAGGCCTGCAAGCAAATTGCAGCGAGTAACCTCGTTTTACTGTGTTCAATACCTATACACTCCAGGGATGGCTTTCCAAGCCTCGGCCCAGGTGGCCAGGGGGACTTAGCCTGCTCCTCTTCCTTCCTAAAGGATCAGGACGGCTTCTGAGGCGCAAGATCCAGCGTTATCTTAGGCCGGGGACCTAGGGGTAGCTCAATGAGAGCAGTTCGTCTCAGTGAGCGCGGCTTCTGCGTGGTGGGATTAACTTTATTATTGCTATAAAGAGATAAAAAAAAGTTACACACCTTTTGTGGGATCTGACCAAGAGCAGAAGCAATGGTGTTTGATCTTTCCAATGTCAGGTTGTTGATCATGGAACCCAATGAGAAAACAACAATGCCATGATCTCCTGAGCTCTGAACAAACTTCTCCAGTTCCTAAAAGACACACAAATGACCACATACTTTAACTCAGAAACAGAAAACAAGACTTGAACCACCATATACACCATGTAAACTACTTAACAGTTAACAATAGGAAATAGGAATCATGGGGAAAAGAAATGTATCACTCTCTTTGAATCAATTCTTAATGCGCATGTGAACGCCATCAGCGTTTATCACAAGTTCACTTCGCGTTTAAAGTATGTTTGGAGAGAATGGTGTCATCTTAGTGGCCCCTAATTTCATAACAAATGATCATTTCGACGGAAGTGAATCAATCAAAACTAACTTTAGCTGGAAAATAACATTATTCAAGAACCGCTATAAAACCAAACCAATCTCTGTTACCTTAAATTATATTAAGTTTATCTCTGTAAAGCTGCTTTGGAAAAATCTACATTGTTAAAAGCGCTATATAAATGAGGATGACTTGACTTGACTTTGAAAGTGTTCATTCTGGTTCTGAACCCACAAAAAAACATAATGCACTCTAACGCACTCTGAAAACGTGATATTTCTACCAAAGTTCAAGTTTGTCCCTGATTGTAGATGACATAATTGCACCAACTGGGTCCAAAAAGCAGTCGTACTAAAGTTGCCGTGTATTACTGCAAGCATCAATATTGTATTGTACTGTGAAATACTGTATGTCATTACTTATATTCTTCCTCATCTGTTATATTTCATGCACTGCAAAGAATATTTGAGAAGTTTGGAACCATGCAAATTCTTTTGGTACCATCAGTCAGACCACAGGGCCAAAATAATTAATCGCACAGGATTGACAGATCAGTTGTTTGGCTCAAAAAATATTCTTGTGCCGAGTTACAAAATTAATGTAAAAATTCTGTAAATTTTCTGCCCTGATATGCAATTTCTCCCTTTTAATTACGGACCTAAATGGAAGATATTTTCCAAAGTGTTTCAAACAATATGCAGTTTACAAAATGGGATGACATTGCAAATCCATAGTTTCTTTTAAAGGGTTAGTTCACCCATTGTATCAGCATTGTATTCTGGTTCTGTTGTGGATCCGCGTTCAGTGCCGCCGCTGACGTAAGACGCTGCTGACGTGTGTCTGGTGTGTGTGTGTGTGTATTCCGGTTCTGTTGTGGATCCGCGTTCAGTGCCGCCGCTGACGTAAGACGCTGCTGACGTGTGTCTGGTGTGTGTGTGTGTGTGTGTGTATTCTGGTTCTGTTGTGGATCCGCGTTCAGTGCCGCCGCTGACGTAAGACGCTGCTGACGTGTGTCTGGTGTGTGTGTGTGTGTGTGTGTGTGTGTGTGTGTATTCTGGTTCTGTTGTGGATCCGCGTTCAGTGCCGCCGCTGACGTAAGACGCTGCTGACGTGTGTCTGGTGTGTGTGTGTGTGTATTCCGGTTCTGTTGTGGATCCGCGTTCAGTGCCGCTGCTGACGTAAGACGCTGCTGACGTGTGTCTGGTGTGTGTGTGTGTGTATTCTGGTTCTGTTGTGGATCCGCGTTCAGTGCCGCCGCTGACGTAAGACGCTGCTGACGTGTGTCTGGTGTGTGTGTGTGTGTATTCCGGTTCTGTTGTGGATCCGCGTTCAGTGCCGCTGCTGACGTAAGACGCTGCTGACGTGTGTCTGGTGTGTGTGTGTGTGTATTCTGGTTCTGTTGTGGATCCGCGTTCAGTGCCGCCGCTGACGTAAGACGCTGCTGACGTGTGTCTGGTGCGCCCGAGCTTCGTTTACAGTCTGAGGGAGACGCACGCTGGAAACAAAACAATCTTCACAAACATGTCTAAGGATTTCCACACAGAGGACGACTTGCATTTCTTTGCCCAGCCATATTTATTTGAACCCGAATACACGGACGCACCAGACACACGTCAGCAGCGTCTTACGTCAGCGGCGGCACTGAACGCGGATCCACAACAGAACCAGAATACACACACACACACACACACACACACACCAGACACACGTCAGCAGCGTCTTACGTCAGCGGCGGCACTGAACGCGGATCCACAACAGAACCAGAACACAATACAATGCTGAATAAAGTCGTAGTTTTTGTTATTTTTGGACCAAAATGTATTTTCGATGCTTCAACACACTCTAACTAACCCACTGATGTCACATGGACTACTTTGATGATGTCTTTATTTCCTTTCTGGACAAGGACAGTATACCGTACATACATTTTCAATGGAGGGACAGAAAGCTCTCGGACTAAATCTAAAATATCTTAAACTGTGTTCTGAAGATGAACGGAGGTCTGACGGCCTTGGAGCGACATGAGGGAGAGTCATTAATGACATAATTTTCATTTTTGGGTGAACTAACCCTTTAAGATCAACAGAGCCAAACCCCTCTCCAAAGTTACAATGTTACTTGATCTATTCAAGTGAGGATTCCTTAATTTGCAAACGATGCTTGTTTTAATACAAATAAAAATAAAATGTAAAGGCATCAAAGATATTTCAGAAGAGCAGATGTTTCAAAATAATATACGGCAAAGCAAAGTCATTACCTTTGACAGAGGTTTTGCGGGTTTGCAGTGCAGTCCTCCAACAAATTTAAAATTAGGCAGGAGTGGGCGTGGATACTCGAAATCCCAGTAAGTTCTAATCAACCAGATGTCAGCTTTCCCCATGGTCTCACACATTGTTGTAGGTTTGCCTGTGACATGAGAAATATTTCTACTCAGTTGATGTACAGTAGGTCAAGTCACACGTTAAAGCATAAAAGTCGGCCTAGATCAAACAAAAAATAGTTACCCCGCAATTCAGTGTAAAGCCGGTCAAAAGTAAACCTCGTGTTCAATTGAAATATGGTTGTGTGCATGATGTAGAGGAGCATGTTTTCAACTCTCTCTGTGAAGCTCATATGGTCAGTGAGGTGACCCTGCACAGCGACCGCAGGGACATAGGATGGTGGTGTGGGGATCTGACCGCAAAACTGCTCGAAACTATACGCGAAAGTTGAGCGCAGTGAGATGACGTACGGGATTTTCAGCGTCTCTGCCATCAAGTCAGCGCATGGCATCATTGGATCAGATAAAAGCACATCATAATGAGATTCCCGAAGCGTGTGTAAAAGATCCTCATTGTGGAACATTCCCTTGCATGTATCAGCAGAAAGCGCCATGAAGTTTGACATCACTCGCCTGATCATGGAGACTTTCTCGTATAACGTGGTGGCTGTGTCGGTCATCCAGAGATGAATAAAGTCCCTCCATACACCATCGGCCTCTTCTTTCTTCATGTTGACTTTAAACACATTGAAGGTGAACCGCTCCTTCCGTGTGTACTGTACAGTAGGAGATGAAGAACTGATCAGAACCGTCACGCTGTGGTTCTTATCAACTAACGCGTCTACGATTGAACGCATGTTGTGCCAGTGGCTGTACTCGCCTGGCAACACCAAAACCCTGCCAGCCTCTACTCCACACAACAGAACGAACACAAGCAAAGTCCCAGAAATCATGGTCAAGTGTCTGTGCCTTTAGAAAAGTGCAGTGTGATCTATGGAACAGTGACCCAAATGCAAGATTTACACAACAGGATTTGGGCAAAGGTCGTGTTGCATTATGGAGGGTATAGGTGCACTTTGTCATTTTGCCAAAGGATAATATCTTTAATTGCACTTTCACTCAATTCCCACTCTAAATTGTGTATTTTCCAATACTGCAAGGAATATGCAACAACACTGTTATAACAGCTTTATTTTGTTTTTACAAAATGTAAGTGCAATTCTGAGTCAGATGTCAGTTTATAGCAGGGGTTTTCAACCTTTCAACCTAGACTCGGGTTTATTATAGCCTAGTTCTAGTTCATTTCTATCATGACAACCCCTAGTAAAAAAAAGTATACTTCATTGTATTTGAAATATATCCATTTTTCAATAGTACATTGCAAATACTAACACATCTTTAAATATTAGCATCATGCTTTTACCTATTTTCACAATACAACTTTTAACACACTACAAAATAATTGTACTTTAGTACATTTTCTCAAAATATATTTTAGAAAAATATACTTGAAATGAAAATTCAGTTTATTTTTTAAAAGTGCTATTTATTTGCACTTTACTAAAAATATATTTTAGGGTATATTTTTATTTCAACAGTGTGCTGGAAATGATCATTGTAACAATGCATTGAAAAAGTATACTTTCAAAATACATTATAGTATTTTGTACAGAATAAATAAATCAAATAGTATAAAATACATTTCAGAGAAAGTTTGTCTCAATCTTTTCCACTGGCCAAATAGTATTTTTAATTGCTTTATATTTTTAATGGAAACAGGTAGGCCTTATTGTGCATTATTGATCATTATTTGCATGAAAATATTTTCTCAGACCATGAGTTATGCTATTATCATTTGCTAAGCAATCCTCGCTGTAGTTAAAACATTAAAACACAGCATGCCACAGGAAAAGTGTTCAACAACAGCATCATATAAAAATGTTGTAACTAGGCCTACTTTGTAATGTTTTCATGTATTTCCAAAATGTTCGTACGCATGGGGTCAGAGTTTGCGTGCAGGTGCGCCAATTTTCCCGTCACTTTTGTTTTTAAAAAATCACAACTTATGCAACAGAAGTGGCGTAGCCTACGCCTCTTTCAGGGGATCTTTTGTGCGTATGCATGACGGTTATAGATGAAGCCCCAGCCCCCACGGTTCGGCACGCATGTGATTCGCGGATTAAAGCAACACCAAGTAACTTTTCCTCTGCGGTCGCCCTACAGGTTGGAAGCGGAATTGTCCGTTACCGCTGTGGTAAATAATTTAGCCTACCGCAGCCTACTGTCGCACGCATGCTCGCTGTTTATCCAGCACCGGCTTTGGAGTGAACGATGTCCACAGACAAGGTAGAGTATAGCCGCGTTTCCACCGCAATTACCAGGAACTTTTTGTCCCAGGAACTTTTTTCATAGGAACTTTTTTTGCCCCAGAACGGTTGCTCACTGCGTTTACACCGTGGACTAAAGTACCGGGAAGATTAGTCTGGTGATGTTGAACTGCGTGCGATTGCTCCTCCCAGTCTGCGCGTACTTGTTTTGAGTTTTAAGTATTGAGGAGATTCAAGCTGTGCTGTTTTTGTGTGCGATCTATTGGTTTACTAACGAGGTAATTAACAAAACGGCAGAAAAGAGACGAACACTAATACCAAAGCGTATTCATTTCAGAAAGCTCGTAATGCTAGATAGACAACGTTTGTTATCAGCTATAGCGGACATGACCATGGATTGGACGAACGCGCGCCATCCGGCAGAGAGAACAAGGTAAAAGAACCATAGACAGTGGAAAAGAACCAATCAGCATGTTCAGCGCACAAGTCCCACCCCGAAAGTTTCTGAACTCTGAAAAAGTACTACCTCGCCAGCAGGGACTTTCTGGGGGGGACATTTTTACCCGGAACTTCATTTAGACCCTGGTTCCTGCGGTGTAAACACACGGAGTACCACCCCAAAGTTCCTAGTTCCTGGGGAAAGTTCCTGCGGTGGAAACGCGGCTTATGTTGCATGATTTCATGAAAGTATGATGTATTGCGACATCAAAAACTAAGAAAAACTAAATGACTATTGTAACGCTTGACGTAAAGCAAGTCAAATTTGTAGTTTTCTTATGTCTCATTAGAACTACAGAAACGCGACCTGATCTGGTAATCTAGCGTGGTTATAGCAGATATAGGGCTGCATAGTGTGGTTATAGCAGATATAGGGCTGCATAGTGTGGTTATAGCAGATATAGGGCTGCATAGTGTGGTTATAGCAGATATAGGACCACAAAGCGAATCCAGAAGTGCCTTTCACCCTGAACCACTGAAACGATTTTGGAAACATTATTTTAAGGTAAAAAATCTAACTTAGTGTTGCTTTAACTGCTAAATTTAACCATCATAGAGTGAAAGTTTGTTCGCTGCCTTATATATCCCACATTCCTGTGCTTTCCATTATGTGACAGTTGAGCTAAAAAATAAAGATGGCGTCTGAAAGTTGCAGCTGGTCGTCAGTTTGTGTGTAAATGTACATTTTTGGTGCACGTTTTCAGTCTGTGAAATATGCCACATTAAAGAGAGAATGTCATGCATCAGTTCGGCTGGCAGCTTAATTGTTTTGGACAAAATCTGAATGTCACTAGGCTATCAATAATTCCCGGTTGCACAGACTGTGGCTAGCCATGTTGACTTTTATTCATTCACAGGATATGAACTATTGATATTAACAATTCAATTTCCACTATAGCCTATATATTTTTTTTAATCCTTGATATCAACAATGACAGCATCACTCGCAGAAATACTACAAATACAGAAGAATTTAATTTCAACTAGTAAAAACTATCATTCTTGATATCTTTAATTTATTTTCACAATAGATAAATATCACCATAGGCTGCCATTCAAATTCAATTGTATCGAATTGATTTCTTATAGTTGAAATTCCAAATTCTCATATAAAAAAAATAATAATAATTTCTAATATAAATAATTACACGGTTACTACTACCACGTATTACCACGTATTTTTTTTTAAATAAAAAATATATATTTCTACTAAGAAATGCATAGCTGATATGTTTCAACTAAGAAATCCATTATTGATATCAACAACTGAATTTAAATGGCAGCCTATAGTGAAAAATCCAATTTCTTATATCAAGAATTATTTCAAAAAGTGAAAATGCAATTATTGATATCAATAATGTACTGGGAATGTATAAATGTCAAAACGCAGACAGCATGCTTAAGTGATAATGCTGGACATTTTGATTTTTTCCCTCACAATTGCAAGTTTCCAAAGTCAGAATTGTGAGATGTTTTTCAGTGGCGTAAGCTTCCATATTAAAGGGTTAGTTCACCCAATTTTTTTTTTGAAAAATAATATTTCACGTAGTGAAACTACGCAAAGCTTCTAGATTGCACGTCACGCATCACACACATGACCAGCGTCGGCCAATAGTGAGCCTACGTGTGACGTGCAACCTAGAAGCTTTGCGTAGTTTCACTACGTGAAATATCACGGCCTTACAGAGTAGTTGAATAAAGTCGTTCTTTTTGTTTGTTTTTTTGCGCACAAAAAGTATTCTCGTCGCTTGATAAACTTAAGATTGAGCCACTGTAGTCACTCGGACTATTTTAACGATGTCTTTCATAACTTCTGGGCCGGCCAGTATCGATCCCTTAAGAAGCCTATGGAGGAGTGATCCAGCTCTCAGATTTAATCAAAAATATCTTAATTTGTGTTCCGAAGATGAACGAAAGTCTTACGGGGTTGAACAACATGAGGGAGAGTAATTACTGACAGAATTTTCATTTTTGGGTGAACTAACCCTTTAAGCTTTTCTAACTAAACTACATTTCCCACAATGCCCTATAAAGATGTTCATGAGAAGAAAAAAAAAACATTCGTGAACCCTTTCGTGAGTCCTTACCTAATATTTCACTGTAGTAATTATCCAAACTCATCGAGGCCATCCGAAACCCGACGGAATAAACAACATAAATAATCATATTTTTCACTCTTTCCATGAAGCACATGTGATCCGTCATCACCGTCGGAGGAACAGGTACATAAGAGGGCGGTGAGGGCATCTGTCCACACATCTTCTCCATGGAAAACCCCAATGACAACCGCAGAGAAAGGACGAGTGGCAGGTCCAGAATCTCTGCCAGCAAGTCACTGCATATGAACATGGGATCATATAAGAGCACATCAAACTTTAAATCCCTCAAGCGCGCGATTAGCGCGTCATTACGCAGCATGGAGTCGCAGGAGATGCGCAGCAATTCGTTCACTTTCCCCGCCAGCTCCACGATCTGGAGACCAATTGTGACCATGCTTGGTGTGGGGTACTGCAACCAGATGTTGAGCAGCTGTTCGCTCACACTGTGCGCCTCGTCCTTCCTCAGAGGCACGTCAAACACCAGGAACGGGAACCTCTCCTGCGCTGTGAAGTTTACGGACGGCGAGGCTGAGCTCACCAGAACGGTCACACTGTGATTGCGGTTCAGAAGCTCTTCCACGATGTTGCGCATGTTGTGCCAGTGGCTGTATTCTCCCGGCAGCACGAGCACATTGCCACCGTGCGTAAAGCTCACGTCAGTCAATAGGAAGATTACGAAAAGTGTGCATGACTTTCCCAAACAGTGCATGGCAGAAACACCCGTGAAGACGCAGCAGATAACCACCTTTCCCACTTAGCATCTGGATTAATAAGGAAGGCGTATCTAGGTAAAGGGCGGAACAGCAGGACTTTGGAGGAAAGTGACGTCACGTAGTAGGAGTCAGGAAAGACTCGAAGAAAAACCAACATTACATTCTCTTGTGAAAAAGAAGAGCCTGCCTTTTAAACGTATTACATAACTGCTCGTGCCGACTATATCATATTAATAAAATAAAAGGTTAAGTGTAGGCTACATAAAGAGAGAATGTACACTTTCACGACTCGTTGATATTTTTAAAAAGTGCACTTTGTAATAATGTCAAAAAGTTTTACTTTAAAGTACATTTTAAATCATGTTTTAATAATCTTTGTTCATGCTTTAAAGTAGTAGCCTACACTTATTTTGATGTGTCGACTAACATAAAGTAACATGTAAAGT